TTTTTTTTTTTTTTTACAGAAGATCAGTTTAGTATACATTAAGTAAATATTACAACAGTTTTCACCCCCATAGAAACACAAAGTGAAATATACTGTTTGAGTACTCGTTATAGCATTAAGTCTCAATGTACAGCACATTAAGGACAGAGATCCTACATGAGGAGTAAGTGCACAGTGACTCCTGTTGTTGACTTCACAAATTGACACTCCTGTTTATGGCATCAGTAATCTCCCTATGCAGCAGTCATGAGTTTCCAAGGCTATGGAAGCCCCTTGAGTTCTCCGACTCTTATCTTGTTTAGACAAGGTCATAGTCAAAGTGGAGGTTCTCTCCTCCCTTCAGAGAAAGGTACCTCCTTCTTTTTTTTTTTTTTTTTGATAGGCAGAGTGGACAGTGAGAGAGAGAGACAGAGAGAGAAAGGTCTTCCTTTGCCGTTGGTTCACCCTCCAATGGCCGCCGCTGCAGCCGGCGCACCGCGCTGATCCGATGGCAGGAGCCAGGATCCAGGTGCTTTTCCTGGTCTCCCATGGGGTGCAGGGCCCAAGCACCTGGGCCATTCTCCACTGCACTCCCTGGCCATAGCAGAGAGCTGGCCTGGAAGAGGGGCAACCGGGACAGAATCCGGCGCCCCGACCGGGACTAGAACCCGGTGTGCCGGCGCCGCAAGGTGGAGGATTAGCCTATTGAGCCACGGCGCCGGCTAAGTACCTCCTTCTTTGAAGACCTGTTCTTTCCACTGGGATCTCATTTACAGAGATCTTTCTTTTTTTTTTTTTTTTTTGCCAGAGTGTCTTGGCTTTCCATGCCTGAAATACTCTCATGGGCTTTTCAGCCAGATCGCAATGCCTTTAGGGCTGATTCTGAGGCCAGAGTGCTGTTTAGGACATCTGCCGTTCTATGAGTCTGCTGAGTATCTTGCTTCCTATGTTGGGTCACTCTCCCCTTTATTTATTCTATCGGTTAGTATTAGCAGGTACTAGACTTGTTTATGTGCTCCCTTTGACTCTTAGTCCTTTCATTATGGTCAATTGTGAACTGAAATTGATCACTTGGACTAGTGAGATGGCATTGGTACATGCCACCTTGATGGGATTAAATTGGAGTCCTCTGGTATGTTTCTAACTCTACCATTTGGGGCAAGTCAGCTTGAGCATGTCCCAAATTGTACATCTCTTCCCTCTCTTATTCCCACTCTTATGTTTAACAGGGATCACATTTCAGTTAAATTTCAACACTTAAGAATAACTGTGTATTAATTACAGAATTAAACTAGTCATATTAAGTAGAACAGACAAAAAAAACTACTAAGAGGGATAATGTATTAAGTTGTTCATTAACAGTCAGGGCTATGCTGATCAAGTCACCGTTTCTCATAGTGTCGATTTCACTTCAACAGGTTTCCTTTTTGGTGTTCAGTCAGTTGTCACCGATCAGGGAGAACATATGGTATTTGTCCCAGGCTTTCACCAGCACCTGCAGCCTGGAGCTCTGTTTCTCAGGCCTCCTGGCTCAACTTTGCATAACTTTGAAATATTTTAGGGCACTGCTGAGATATGCTGAAAGCATGTGACAAACACCCAGGGACGCATCTCCACTTAGGTGGTGGTTAAATTTCACTTTGAGGCCTCCTCAGAGGCCAAAGATCAGGGTCGGCAGCCTCCACCTTCCAGCCCAGCCCCTGCTGCCGCCTTCCAGCTTTAATGTCCATAGGGCAATGTCAATTCTTGCAGAACTGGTCTCTCTTCATCTCCCTCTTGGGTGCTCTTGCCTCAAGCCTGGCTGTCATCTCTGACTCCTTCATAATCCTTGCTCCCATGAGACTAATTTTAATGCCTGTATGTATTTCAGCCTCAAAATACATCTTTATGAGGGACTGCCATGATCCTGTCTGCCTCTGAGGACCAGCTGCCACTCGGGCCCCTCTCCTCACCCTGAGGGCTCCTCTATGAACACAGGAAAAGTCACCCCACTCAAGCAGAGCAGCCCTTGGATGCATGGGTGACACGGCGAGCAATGTCTGCAACTATAGACTTAGAGCCATTGTGCTTGGACACACTCGGCTCTGTGTTGGAGCTCATTGATCGGGAATCAGGGCAAGTTCAGGTTAATTCCCAGCACCCTCTAGGTCAGCCTCACTTGTGCAGTGAGCAACCTGTGGTACCTGGGGGCACTTGTGTCACTTGGTGCTGCATTTTCCTGTGGGGATATCTGCTTCAAGTCCTTCTTCCTGCCATGATTCTCCACATACAGCCACAGACATACCTTTAAGCTCACACACGCACACAGAACACACACATATGCATAGAACAAACACATGTGCACACATGCATATAGCCATCAACAGGAACATGCATAACATATTTTACTTATTTCAATTTCTAAGAGTATCCAGGGATTCTCATTACTCTGGGGATAGATCCACACTCAGCTGGACATGGGTCTTGCCTGGCAGATCCCTGCCCTCCTCTCCCCGAGAGGGGCCACATCAGCCATCATTCCCTACACGTCTTGTCTTAACACTGCCCCAGGGTCCTCAGCCTGAGAAGCTCCCCTCACTCTGCCTGCTCAGGCCCACTTTGTCCTGTGGTCATGGCACCATGTCTTGTCACACTCTCTTGGAGGATCTGGTGCCATCTGTCCCCAGCCTCCCAACCCTTGTCCCAGCTGTGAGGTATGCCCGCCTGACCCCAGACCCCAAAGTTTCTGAGAGCTCCCTAAGATGCTGGCCTGTCTGAGGTGTCCCAAGAGCTCACATGGCACCTGCCACAAGAGGCCTTGCTTGAATCATCCACTGTGCCCATGGCTACAGGCAGCCACAGAATAGGATGCTGATCTGTGAGGTTGGGCAGAATGGCAGGACTGGTGTGAGCTCATGGTTACAAGGGAAGCCCCCTTCTGTAGCTCAGCAGTTGAGTGGAGGAGGAAGTGTCCTGTCTGTGTCTGCCTGTCTCCTGCTTGTCAGCATTGCTGGCAGCAGTGACACCTGCAGCATAGGAGGGCACCGGGCACAACTGCTGATGAGGCAATGAAGGAGTGGACCTGGATGCAGGGTGCTGAGTGCAGGAACTGCGAAGGGTAGATTTTCCTGGAGCAGGGAAAGCTTGGGTAGGGAGAGAAGGACCCTGCTGCTCAGCCATCAAAGGAACACAGCGCCAGTGCTGCAGTCTCCAAGTGTGTACAGGGACAAAGGTGCCATTTCAACAAAGGCAGGAAAAATGGTGGCCAGCCTTCCCCAAGGAGTTTCTCCTTTCCTGGTGATGAAAAAAAAAAATTAGACTGGGGCTCCCTGAGCTGTCACAGCCCAGCACCTTGACCCTATGGTTGATGATTATCAAACATCCAGGTGTCAGCCAATGAGGCGGCCACCCAGCAGAGGTGGGGCAGGCCCAGAACAGTCCCTCCTGGATGCCAGGGACAGGCTGAGGGTCTGAGGCCATGCTGCACACGCTCAGCTCTGGAGAGCAGGTGAGAGGCTGGGGAGGGGGACAAGGCTGGGGCTCTGAGAGCAGGGTGGAGTCCTGGGGCCCGTGCTGGTGGTTGGAGGCGATGTCCTCTCATTAGGCTAAACATGGACAAATCAGGGAGGAGCCTGTGCTGAAAGGGGTGCTTGGGACACAGAATTTCTGCAATCATGGGCTTGGAGGGGGCCACAGGGCATGGGGCACAGAGGCTGCTGCACGGTCCAGCCCAGTGTGGCCAGGAGATGACAGGGAAATGAGACATGACGGCGGAGGACACGGACTTTAAGTGTCCATGTGTTACATGTGCTAGCGCGTTAACTTCTCAGATCTTATTTTACCCTGTGGTACAGATGAGCCCGCTGCCTCACAGAGGTTGAGTGCCGTGGCCAAGGTCACATCGCCAGAACAGATGGTACAAGGATCCTGGGAGCACGGGACACTCACGTGGCTTCCTCTCTCTTCTCCAGGGCAGTAGCAGGAGTGCAGGGGCGCCCAGCTGTCACTCTGGACATCGACATTCAGACACAGACATCTCTCATGGCTTCTTATCACATCCGCAAATACCAGGAGAGAGACCGCAAAAGTGTCCTGGCCTTGTTCTCCCAGGGGATGGAGGAGCACATTCCCAGTGCTTTCCGCCACCTGCTGAGGCAGCCCCAAACCCTCCTGCTCTTACCTGGGGTCCCCCTCGTCCTCCTTCTGCTCTCTGGCTCCTGGCTCCTCGCTCTGCTGGCCAGCCTCGCCATCCTCGTGGTCCTGAGGCTTGCTGCCTCCTATCCCTGGAAGAAGTACGTGGCCCTGAGTCTGCAGTCAGACATGGCTGACATCACCAAATCCTACCTGCGAGGGAGTGGCTCCTGCTTCTGGGTGGCCGAGTCTGAAGGGCAGGTGGTGGGCATGGTGGGAGCTCTGCCCGTGCAGGATCCCACCTTGCGGGAGAAGCAGCTGCAGCTCTTCCATCTGTCTGTGGCTTTGGAGCACCGGGGTCAGGGGCTAGCAAAAGCCCTGGTCAGGACGGTCATCCAGTTTGCCCGGGCCCAGGGCTACAGTGAGGTCGTCCTTGACACCAGCATTGTGCAGACTGCTGCCCTGAGTCTCTACCAGGGCATGGGCTTCGAGATCAAGCACCAGTGGTACTTCCACGTGAGTGCGAGGCTGGTGGGTCTTTCTGCTTTTTGTTTAGTGTACCGCCTGCCTTCTGCTCAGGGGGGCAGCCTGTGATCCATTTTCTGTGTGGGAGTGAAGAGTTAAAATTGCATATGTGCAGGTGTAAAAAGTTAAGCTTAAGCTTACAGGTTTAAATCTTCCTGGTACAGCTGTAAAAATAAGAGTAAAGTAGCACCTTGACAGTAGGGACTCCATTTTGGAGCACCTAAGACTCCATTCTGAGAAAGTACCCCCCATCCCCCCCCCGTGAGACTCTGGTCTGAAACTATGATCTCAAATAGTCGGACAATAGCAGTGCACTACATCACCCTTGGCAGAGCACAGAAAACCCCCTAGCATGACTGCTCAAGCTTAAAAGTAGAAAGGTTACACCTGGGTTACCTGGGCTAATAATAAAGATGTAATTTGTCTGTGTCTTACATTAATGTCAAGTCCTAATTGCTAATTGTAATATTGTAACTGGTATTGTCAAAATTATGATAAATATTAATTTCACTTAGGTTTTAGGTTATGTTAACCCCAGTAACCATATACTCTCTTTTGATTTTATGTACTCTCTTTTGATTTTAGCAACTGTGTATAGCAACCGTGCATAGCAACCATGTATTCCCCCCTTCCCGGTTTTGCGGTTTTTGCCTTTATAAACCCTAACCTTTGGTTATTCAGGGCTGCTCTGTTAATGTATGATCAGACAGCCCCAGCATGCTGGATAATCAATAAATCTTTAACCCTTTGCTGGTTGCATGAGAGAAAAGTCTCTTGGAGTCGTTCCTTGGGTGGTGTGCTTTTTCAGACTCTAACAGGAGCAGATCGATTCTGCTGTGGTCACCAGCAAACCCTGACGCCTCCGTGCCATCAACAATAAATCTCCTTGATCCTGCAGATTTGAGTCCCATGTGTGTGGTGCTGGGAGGTGTAGGGGGCTGTGCTGCATTCATTCTACTTGGGGTGTTTCTGTTCCATTTCTCCTGCACCACAACAACCTTCTTTGAAAAATCAGCTGCCAAACGGTAAGATGTGCAGGCTTCAGCTCCTGAGTCCGCTGATAGTTCAGAGTTGGAGCTGAGCTAGGATGGGCAGCTGTCCTGAGTTGGTGATGGACAGGGCGGCTGGGCACCATCATGTCCATCAGACTGGCTCAGGCATGGTTTTGGTTTAAGTTCCTTGCAGAGGAGACAAAGCAACAATTCAATCAACACAGGACCCCTGGCAGGGCAGCAGGTCACTGTGTGGTTGCACACATTGTCTGGAAGACCACAGTGGTGCCATACCCAGGTCTCTCTCCACTGGCCTTGGGTCCCAGGATCCCATCCTGGAAGCACCGGTTCTTAGCATGGCCAGGTGTCCTGGGGTGACCCGGGTTGCAGTTGGGCTGTGTGCAGATCCCTGCCAGGTCCACTTTCCCAGAAAGGGCAGAAATCAAAGTGCCCTGAATTCCCCTTCTCAGCGGTTGGGGCTCCCAGGCTGACTCTGAACACTCCTGTGACGTCCGCCTCCGTGCCTGGAGGGCATGCAATAGGAGCGAGATGGCCGTGCCCAGCGGGTCTGGCCTGGGGGAAACAGAGTCTCACAGGTTCGCACCACCCAGAACATCTGCCTGTCACAGTGTAATGGGATGGTGACGGGCAAGACAAAGAAACCCACGAGAAGATGGCTCAGTGCTCAGGATTGCATGTGTGGCTGCAGGCAGGAACTCAGTGGCTGAAGTCACCGGCTGCCCAGGCGCCACCAGTGAACTCAGGTGTCTTCATGAGGCCAGGAGCCAATCTGGTTTATATTAACTTAACAATGAATGTTTAACGATGAATGTTTATCTAGAGACCAACAGGTGCACATGATACCCCCTTTTCAGGTATTTTAGAAATCAGTGAGAAACCAACTCAGACATCAGGGGTCCTTAAATTAGGATGTCTTCTAAGACACCGAACTGTGCCCCCCATCTCCCATCGACACAATCCACCCCTCCCTTCTTCCTGTCCCATCGCAAACTCGATACAAAGTGTGGGAATGGCACTCTGAGTGCTTGCACTCTGGTCCTTGTCCCCATTGCAAACCCACTTAGGCACAGCACAGGGGGCACCCCAGTTGCAGAGCAGCATCCATTGCTCAGCCCCTCGACCGGGACCCCCTGCCCTCACTGGGAGCAGAGTTCACCTTGATGCATGCCCTCGGCCCCAGGGCACTCAGTGATGCTTTGTCCATCGGGGGTCAGGACCCATGGTGTCTCAGGGACCTCAGTGTCCACTGCAGTCTTACCACTTGGGCTCCCAGTGGTCTTCGTTTATGACGGGCCTGCACCCCCACAACAGGAAACCTCCTTTCCTGTCAGGGTATGGACCAGGTGGGAAGCCAGCACGCTGACCCCTGCTGTGACACGTGGTCTCCAGGAAATGTAAGTGACCTTGAGACCGAAGTGTCCCCTTGGGAGGCTGCAGGGCAGTCTTGATGTCTCCAGGATGGGTCTCTTTCGAGTGAACACTCCAAGTGTTCTTGCCCAAACCTGGGCATCTCTGCTCTCTTCCTTGTTCCACTCCAGTTAGACTCAGTCTAATTCCTGCCAGTTCTGCCTCCATGTGGTGCAGTTGTCCCCATCTTGGCTGCTTTGTCGAGAACCAGTCACCTCTCTGTGTCCTGGCTCTCTGCTGGTCTAGAGGGCTCTGTAAATCCAGGACCCAATGCAGTTCAAACAGAGCAGCCCACCGGACACACAGGGAAGGGGGCAAACAGTGCCAGTGAATGGACAGAATTGCATGTCTGTGCCCTGGGCAGCGCTCAGCTCTGGGAGGGGTTGCTGGCTTAGCCATGGAGCATGCTCGGTTTTAGCCCTCCCCACTCTCTCTGGTATGTTGCACTTGTGCAGTGAGCAACCTGCACACTGCACCTCAATGTCTTTTCTATGTCTGATGTTCATTTGAGGGTAGGAAGAAGCTCTTTTCCTTTCTCCTTGTATCCATTCTCCACCCGCAACTGTAGTGATGATCTCACAACACTCACACACACACAACGTCCTGCTCATGTCACTCCCCAACTAAAAGCATATCCATGGCTGTTCTTGGAGGAGTCCCTGCTATCTATCCGGACATGGGCCATGATGTTCTTCCTTTCTGCTCCCTCTCTCCCCACCAGGGCCCACGGCGGCCTCGATCCCTGAGAGCCTTGTCTTTGTCCTGCCCCAGGATCCTGAGAAGCTCCCTCACTGTGCCAGCTCGGGCCCACCCCTCTGCAGTCACAGCCCAATGTCCTCATCAGACTCTCTGAGGAGCAGGTGTGTCTGCCTGTCTCAGACAGTCCCATCATCTGTGCCAAACACTGGACATGTGTGATGGCACAGGCTCTGGCTCCCACCGGGTCACTCGCCAGGCATGCACTGGGCGGTGCTTGTCACCTGGTTGTCAGTATTGCTGGCAGCAGTGACACCTGTAGCCTAGCGGGAACCCCAGGCACAACTGCTGATGAGGGAATGGACTTTGATCTCCCTGCTCTGTCATACCCTCAGGTTTATGATTTTCATACACCCAGGAGCCAGCCAATGTGGGGCAGGCCCCTGCCAGTGTCGGCATGGCACCTGCTGCCAGCAGAGGGCAGAGGACGTGTGGGACCCTCTCGGCTCTGGGGGAGCAGATGAGAGGGCATGGGGCGGAGGGAAGTGTGGGCCTGGGGTCTCGGCACCCTCAGGGCCTAGAGGTTGGGCCATTGTTGCTGTGTGGAACTTACGTTACCTCATCGGGCTAAGGCTGACAAAGGGGAAGGGGTCTTGGCTCAGGAGTGCAGGATTTCCGGACGTCCGGGCCAGAGGAAGAGGGGCAGGTTGGACACACTTCCTGGCTGCTCCCCCACAGCCATGCTGAGGAGTCTTAAAAATGGAGCTGAGGCTGCAGGGGGTGCCCCATGTTTCAGGGGTCACAGAGCTTAGGTTTTCAGTCCCTAGAACACAGGGGATCTTGCTGTCTCTATAGTTGCAGACATACAGGCTGAGACCCCGGGATGGGCAACTTGCCAGGTCACGCGGCCAGAACGGTGTGGACAGGTGAATGAGGCCAGCACTTGCAGGGGAGGTCTGCCCCCTTTTGGCGAGGGCAGAAAGGCACCCCCTCCAGCAGGGACTCCCAGTATGAGGAGCCTGGGGCACGGGGCACTCACATGGTTTCCTCTCTGTTCTCCGGGGCAGTAGCAGGCATACAGGGGTGCCCCGCTGTCTCTCTGGACTTTGAGATTCAGACACAGACATCTTTCATGGCTTCTTATCATAGCCACAAATACCAGGAGACCGCAAATGCTCCCTGGCCTTGTACATCCAGGGGGTGGAGGAGCACGGCCCCAACATCTTCCACCACCTGCTGAGGCTGCCCCAAACCTTCCTGCTCTTACCTGGGGTCCCCCTCGTCCTCCTCTTTTTCTCTGGCTCCTGGCTACTCGCACTGCTGGCCAGCCTTGCCGTCCTCGTGGTCCTGAGGCTTGCTGCCTCCTATCCCTGGAAGAAGTACGTGGCCCTGAGTCTGCAGTCAGACATGGCTGACATCACCAAATCCTACCTGCATGGGAGTGGCTCTTGCTTCTGGGTGGCCGAGTCTGAGGGGCAGGTGGTGGGCATGGTGGGAGCTCTGCCCGTGCAGGATCCCACCTTGCGGGAGAAGCAGCTGCAGCTCTTCCATCTGTCTGTGGCCTTGGAGCGCCGGGGTCAGGGGCTAGCAAAAGCCCTGGTCAGGACGGTCATCCAGTTTGCCCGGGCCCAGGGCTACAGTGAGGTCGTCCTTGACACCAGCATTGTGCAGACTGCTGCCCGGGGCCTCTCCCAGGGCATGGGCTTCCAGAAGATGACCCCGTTCTTCACCGCTTTCAGGAGGCTGGCAGGTGTCTCTACTGTTTGCCTTCTGCTCAGGGTGGAAAGCTTGAGGGGCCAGCTCTGCTGTAGCCACAGGCAAACCCTGGAGCTCTTTGCTCCTGCACATTGGAGTGGGGTAGGGAGGCACCGGCTGCTGTGTTCCTGTCATTCTCCTCTAGAGTCTCTGTCATCACCATTTTTCTAGGTCCCGAGCCTATGGTGAAGAGTTTCAGCTGGGCTGGGCTGGGCAGCCCTTTAGGTCTTGTTGTCTTGTTCAGTTGTCCTGTGTTAGCCTATGTCTGGGTGTCTGGGCCTCATCGTGTCCATCAGACTGGCTCAGGCATGGTTTAAGGTTGTTGCAAGGAGCTGGAGCCAAAGCAGAAAGAGGTTGATGCTTTCTCAAGGCCCTGAAGCTATTGTGTCTGCTCACTTCCCTACCCCGGGGAGAGGGGACTCACCTCTGCAGTGAGGAGCTGCAGGGATCACGGCCCAGGAGCAGGGTGCAGCCACGTGGGCAGAGGGGTCATCCACGTCTGGGTCAGCTGCAGCCAGGATACAGTGCAAACATCAGGCAACAGATGGAACCCAGTCTTGCAGTCCCAGTATCAGTGAATGGAGGCCCCAGTGGCGAGAGTGCCGAGTCCCAGGTCTGCATGCTTGGGACCAAAGGTTTAGATTCCTGCTTTTTCAGAGACACAATAGGCCTCACCTGGCCACTGTGAGCGCCTGATGCAAGGGCAGGCTGGCCCTGGGCACCAGGTTCATGATGTGAGCTCCAATTTCCCATCTTAGCAAGACCCACTGCAGTCCTAGGGGTGCCCGTGGGGACTGGCACCTCTCACTAGGTCCCCAATGCCAGAGGCTGGCTCCCTGCGGATGGGGGTGGGGTGGGGTAGATGCTCCTCAGCCAGG